CTACATTTTAGATACAGAAGACATCAAATATATGAAGCAGGATATATGGAATAATGTAATAAAGTAAAAAGTACAGAAAATAGTTAAATAAATATATATTTGTATTATACTTGCATATGTTTTTGCAAGATCATTTTCATTTTAGCTCATTTATTTGCAAAAAAAAGTGCCTGTTTTTTGTTTTATATTTTTTTTATTGAAAATTTCAGCATTTTTGCCATTTGATTTTTGAAATTTAGCAGCATATGATCTAAGAGTAAGATAAAAATGTAAGACCTAAATACTGTATGAGCGGAAATGGGTGTGTCCGTTGGTGTGTGTAGGGTGTCTGGTCCTGACTGTAGCCACACAGTGTAAACAAATGGCTGTGATTTCTCCTCTTACCTGTTGCCTTCCGTCATCCTGACAGGGCCAGAGTGCTGCCAGAAAGGCTGTCAGCCAACAACAGCGCTGCTCACAGTAAACAAGCAAATACCCCCTGTACACACACATACGGACACACGCTGCACACGTCAATAAAACACTGTGCATTACGCCAGCACAAGATGAAGGGCAAAAAGAAGAAATTTGAATTGCAAATGAAACTACACACAACCTCTGGGTCATTTTTCCTCCTTTTCATGTCCAAAGTGTTGTCATTCGATGCCTGGACTCGTAACTCCGCTTGTTGTCATGCTTCAGACATTTTGCTTTGAAATGAGCTTTTGTGGACTTGTAATTATGGTGTATAAGTCACTTTTGGAGCCAGTCTCAAAATGAAGTCTTAAAAGCTTTCTGAAGAGTAATAAGTCTAGTACAGTGACATTTTGGACATGAAATTGGATTCTCATTATATTGTAAATGAAAGTGGAGGAATATTTTTTGTTTATTTAATGTGATGAGTACATATTAGGATGATGTTTGTGTCAGAATTGTCCCCAATTTTGTCTTCAGTGGCAAATTCTCCCCAGAAGAAGGTGACACTGGTGCTGATAAACACAGAATCAAAAAGGACGTCTAGCAAAACAAATGAGAAAGCTCTGAAAGGATAACAGCGTGGATTGGTGCAGATTTTGAATAGAAACAGCCAAAAGAAAAGCTGTTTTTGGTTTTTATTTGAGGTTATACATATATTCCAGACTGGATCCACTATATTTTTATACTAAACTTGGCCAATGATTTCCAATGCCTGACCTAATTTTATCTCGGAAGTTAAAGGTCCAGTATTATGCATAATTGACTCTCTTATGAGCTTTAAGCCATGCTAGAATGTTGTTACCTCATCAAATTGTTTCATTAACACATGTTTGAGAAACTGTTATTAGTCTGTCTACATCTCCAAAACTCAAAATTCTCTGTTCCACCTTATGATGTCATGAAGCTGTAGTTTTCAAGTTAACACCTACATTTTACCTTTTATTCAGTATAGACTGGCAATTACAGGTCTGAAATGATCCAAATGATTCTAGTGGAGGTGTATGGGGTTTAAAAACACAGTGGAGCACTTCCTGTATTACTGCATGACATCATAAGGTGGAACAGCTTGAGAAAAGAACTTAGCCTACATGATTTGTGTGATAAACGTGTGTAATTGAAACAAAAAAACACAACTCCAGGTTTGTTTTTGATAAGGAAACAACATTATAACATAGATCAGAAAGTAGCGTAATATGGGCCATTTAAGAGAGGCTGATGGGAGACAACTGGGAATAAGAGGCACATTTGACCCTCATTGCATTGTATGAATGTGATGTGAGTGAGTATTGATGGTGGTCGGAAGGGCCTCACTTCGATCTACCCTGGGGCAGCTGTGACTAGCCCAAAAACATGCTACACAGGTCTCCAGGAAGAATAGCTGATAGCTAAGTTCAATTAAATACAATCAATCAATTAACCTGCCCTTGGACTACAGGTGGAAATTAGCACTGGTGCTACAACCTGGTACACTGCATCTCTCCTGTTAAGGTTACTGTATATTGTGCACTGTTCCTGTCTCATTAAATAAATTAACTAAACTAAACCACAGCGTATGGAGTGAATGAATAATGCAATGTAAATCGCTTTGGGTGTCTTGAAAAACATTTACCTAACCAGCCAGAACCATGCGCTTTGACAAAACTTGAATCTGGAGCCATATCATGAGGGCCCGATTGACAGGCGGACTAACCAACCAGAGACATGCATGTTTACGTCAAAAAACAAGTATGGCTGCTTAAAAAAGGGTGTAAAAAGGGGAAAAAATAACATAAAGGACTGAGAAACAGTGTGGATTTTTACATAGTCAACTAAACTTTTTTTTTTTTTTTTCCTGACACAATTATTTTGGAGAGGAGATATCTTCTGCATTTGAGAGATACGTGCAAATTAGCAGCTGTGGTTAGGCCGTCTCAAGTTTGAGCAGAGGATTTTCACTCTCTGCGGTCTAGTTCCAGTCCCTTCTGGATTTGAACATGTAGAAGGGACTGGCTGGTCAAGCAAGAAAAATGCTATATAAATCCAATGCATTACTACTGGTATATGTGAACTTTATACTTTACTATTCACGGAGACATTACAAATGTGGTGTAGGCTGAATGAGGTTTGGTGTCATGGACTAAAATAGTTGAGCAAAAGGCTGGACAAAGTTGTGTAGTATGCTCCAAATGCCTGAACAGTGCTGTGTGTATTTGTGTGTTTACATTTGGCTCCAGGCTCAGCTCCAGCTCCAGACACTGAGCAGACTGTCCTTCTGTGGGGGTCAGCGCCTCTGTGGACTCTGCCAGTCCCCTTCTGTCTGTAGTGTCACTTACACGCACAATTTACATCATCATCCAGTAGTTTTAATCTATCATAAATATACGGGCAAGTACAATTTAATTATGCTATCAAGTTACCAGAAGTGGAGAAGTAATATTTTAGAGTGCCTCCTCAAAGATCTTGCACAGAATGTTTTTGTCTGTTCACACGCATTTTCTCCTTGCCTCTCACACTCGTCCTTGTTAAACATATGGAGGGAATAAAGAAGCCTGGATTTCAAATTAAATCACAATGAAGAAGGCAATTATTATTTCAGTCTCCTCTCCCTCTCCAAACACCTAGCATCTGGCATCTTTGTGGAATGGAGGTGCGTAGAAGACACTCTCAAAGCAAGAACGCTGAAGCCAAGAAACAATCAGTGACATTCAGTTTAACTAACTTGCATTCATTCAATTACAGGTGTCTTTATTAAATAAAAAAAGAGAACAAAAACAGACAAACAAAAAAACAAAATTAAATACTCTTATGTGAGCAAGGTTGCAACTTCACAGGTCCTTGGCCTTGTGATGTCACCTTCTTGTCTCCAATAGATAGACTTACATACATATTGTAAATCATGTTTTCCCAAACACTGGGTTGTAGGAGATTTTTTTGGGTTGCCTTGTCACGATCTGCATATAGGTCTGCAATATACAGTTCTGATACATGAGATTTTCTGTGCTCACAAAAATGAAAACAAAGCACAGAAACAGACTGAATGCTGCGCCTGATGTGTTACTCTCTCTCCTGCACCCCAGATTGGAACAATCTCATTAGAAATGTTCAACTGTTAAGACATGTTTTGTATAATTTCTAATCTCTTTGTAATTATTTTATTGATTATGTTGTTTCAATATTGCTGGTTCAATTGAATGTTGAAAAGAAAAAGAAATAGGCTACATTTAATGTTCAATCAGGCGACTTATGGATCCCTTGTATTGCTGTTTCAGTTACTGTTTTTCATTGTTTAAAATGTGAGTAATACTAATTGTTCAGAGAGACATTATCACTCAGTCATTTATTTAGAATTATCCTAATTAATGTTCAATAATGGTAATGGTAATTTTGTGATTTACGAATAATGTCTATTGACTTGGGTCATGAAGGTTTGCGACTTAAAATATTGGTCCCCAGAAAAAAAAGTTTGGGAAACACTGCTGTAAATGAACATAGCTAACCCACTATAGCTTCCAAATAAGAAGAGATCATGGGGTCGCTTCTGGCTCCATCGACTATAATTTTACATTTTAAAAAAAAGTCACCCCTCTCTCTGTAATTGCTGCAGTGAACGCCCTCATTTTAGTCTTCTGGTCAAGTTTAATTTAGCTTTTTTGTACATAAATAAATTCCATTTCGTACTCTGCTTCAAATTGGCCCTTATAACTGAGAGCCTCTGTGAGCTTCATTTGACTGGAGCCAAACGCTCACTCCCCTTGTCCACTTCTTTATAAAAGTATTGACTTTTGCCATGAGGATAAAGCAAATAATAAATAGCATGCTAACACTCACTTGCTGATTATGGGACAGTAAAGCACTTTGTAGTTAGATATGGTTAGATAGAGACAGATATAGTTAGATAGAGAGTTAGATATAGTTAGATGGAGACAGCACTCAACAGACATACCATGTGACCTCAAGAGCTGCTTATACAACAAATGTAATGATGCAGTACATATTTTTGTTCAAATACACGGGTTCAGAGCCTTAAAAAGCCCATATATTTTCTGATCTGTCATTATGTTGTTTCCTCTTCAAAAACATACCTGGAGTTGTGTTTTGTTTCATTCACACATGTTTAACACACATACCCTGCATATTTAGACTGAGTTTTTTCTCTCAACCTGAAAACACTCCTCCTTAGTAATGCAGGTGTTTCACTGTTTTTAACTCCATACACCTTCACTAGAATCATTGAATAATTTCAGCTCTGGAATTGCCACTTTCTACTGAGCCAAACGTAAAAGGTAGCTGAATTTGAAAAAAACTACCAGTTCATGACATCACAAGTTGCAACAGAGCATTTTTTGAACTTTGGAAATATAGAGAACCTAATAATGCAGGACTGCGCAAACACATGTAAATGAAACAAAACACTCCAGGTATGTTTTTTAGGAGGAAACAGCATTCCAACAGAACTAAAAACTCCTTTAATTGTGTATGATTTTGCTATTATAAGTGAGTATTATCATCTTCTCTGCCAAGTAGTCATGCCTGATTATGTACTGTATATGTCTATTCTCTTGCAGGATATCCTGGGTGTGGGACAGACTCAGCCTTACAGAGCTAAGAGGTCTTTACTGGTTCCTCCGATGATTGTAACAGAGAATCAGCGGCCTCCATTCCCCAGGACCATTGGCAGGGTAAGACGCTCATCATTTTGCCAGTATAGTTTTAAACTCAGCCCTGCCTCATAAAGGAAAGAGACTGTAAACTGGAATGCACTCTAAATGTCAGTGTACCAATAAAATAACAAGTGCTCCACAGTATATGTCTATATATTAAGCCTTTATCCCATTGGTGTGGATTTATTTTTATGGTACGTCTTTATGACTGGACGTATTGTAGCTTAGTCTACACTGGTGAAGGGTTCGTGTACAAATGGAATATAGTGAAATAAGAATAAGGCATTACAGATCTTTGGCGTTTCGCTTTATGTGACAGGAGCTATAACATAACATTCAGTAGTGCGTTCTGGGAGCCAGTGCTTTGTGAAGGTTGAAATAACCCGAGTTTAACCTTCTTTACCACTGACAAAGCACATTTGTGTTGACAAGCTCCAAACAGCTGAATCATTCATACCGTCAAGGACCAAGCAGCAGCAATCATCACCCACCAACTGTCTGCCTTTAGGCTTTCAACGGCTACAAGCACAAACCCAATAGGAGCCCCAGTGTTTAAGACTCCAGACTGGAACACGATTTTCTGTGTGACGGCTGCTTAAAGTGGGAATAAAATCTTCTTCTTTTTGCTTGAATTTTCCCCACAATCTTAGTGCCGACTAGGTAGATTTGCAACTTTCTGTTCAAAATTAGTCAAAAACGGTGTGCTGCCTTCAGTGGCTTCTGCAGTTTCAAGTGCTATGTGACATATAATACTGGTCTAATTACAGCTAGGTTTCTGATTACACCTGGCTGTGGATATTAGTGGTGTGCAAAAATTCTAAAATACTGATATATTGTATTATTTAATGTGATGATACAGTATCGATACATCACCAAGAGCATTTTTGATATATTTTACAAGATTATTTTGTTATAGCGCTACAGTTTTGTTGCTTGTTTAGGGGAAGGAAACTCGTTTATGCAACACATTTGACATTTTCACTGTTTTGAGGATTAAAATTGGTGTGTTTCATATTCACTTTGCACAAGAGTTGATTTAACAAAGACTTTTAGTATCACAGCCATGATTTAGCCTTTATTTTTTATTGAACCGTATTGAATCGATTTGAAATATATTGTATTGAATTGTATCGAATTGAAATCTCACTGCATCAAGGTTTGTATCGTATCAGCAACTTCTGAATGATACCCAGGCCTAGTGGATACCTGTTAGACCAATCACAGTGGTCCTTAAACCTTCTGGCCCCTCCTCTTCTACCTCTCACTCTCCCCTTTAGTCCTCCAGACCCCACCTCTTTTAGCTCACTCTCCCCTTTATTCCTCCAGACCCCAGCAACCTCACTCTCCCTTTAATTCCTCCAGACCCACCTAGTCTCCTGCTCACTCTCCCCTTTAGTCCTTTAGACCCCACCCCTCCTCCCCTTCACTCTCCCCTTTAGCTCCCAGCTCTCCCCTCCCCTCACTCTGCACTTTTGTCTTCCAAACCCTGCCTCTTCCCCTGCTCACTACCCCCTTTCTTTCCTACAAACCCCGGCCCCTTTCACTCTGCCCTTTATTCCTCCAGACCCCAGCCCCTCTCATTCTTCGCTTTACTCCTACAAACCCCACCTCTTTTCCTGCTCACTCTCCTCTTTATTCTTCCAGACCCCAGCCCTCCTCCCCCTCTCTCTCCCCTTTATTCCTCCAGACCCCAGCCCCTCTTTTCCCTTTATTCCTCCAGACCCCAGTCCTCCTATCTCCTTACTCTCCCCTTCAGTCCACTAAACCCCACCCCTCATCCCTCTCACTCTCTTTTTTATTCCTCCAAACCCCAGCCCCTCTCACTCACCCCTTTAGCTGTCTAGAAACGGCCCAGTTTAACAGTGCTATTGAATTGTGGTTTAGGTGTTTAATCCCACACAGCATGAGTCGGTCGGCAGCTTGCATCGCCGTAGCAACCCTTTTTAACTTTTTATAAAAATCTCTGTATATAATTCACAGGCCCACATACACGCCTGCTGTGTTCACTATAGATATATAAGACACTTATACGCATTGTGCATTGTTACAGACTTTCTGAAACAAGATGTCTGGTTATTTTTGTTTGTCTTTGTAAACAGCCCCTATTGTCAGCTTTACTGTAGTGCGGTAGCTGTGTGTTTTCTCTAAATGGCAGCTTGGCTTTCATGTTTTCTTGACAAAACAAAAGGTTACGTTCACATAATCGCTTTGATGAGACAGAATTTTTCAGGTCAGGTCGTTTTGTGTTTTGTTTTGCTGTTTGGACATTTAAGCTGTATTTATATTGCACTGGACCAAACATTCTGAAAGCCTCCATTATCTCCCGCTTAGAAACATCATATATGTTTCTATCAGTTTTGTAGCAGTGGGAGATTTTGTGGTTTCTTTTTTCTTAGATGCTGTCAAAATACTGGCAAACTTCAAAACATGCTGCTGTGTAAACTTACTGAATTTCCTTCGGGATCAATAAAGTATTTATCTATCTATCTTTTAGTGTTACAAATAATGGCTGTGGTTAAAGACACTCTCAAAATGTGACTAAAATCAGATTTTTTGAGTTATTAAAATCTAAATCATCAGATAGTTTTGTGATCATGGTCGCTCTGATTATTCACATCAGATTTGACAGTTTACATGCCATTTAATGGTTCATATTACACAATTAACTCTTGTGAGCTTTAGAATGTTAAATTTAGAATGTTGTTACCTCCTCAAAATTACTGGCCTCAAAATGCTCTGTTCCACTTTGTGATGTCATGTAGTGGTAGTTTTCAAGTTAAGTGCTACCTTTACCTTTTGTTCAGATAGGCAATTCCAGGGCTGAAATGATAATAAGTCTCTCTAATAATAATATATCCATCCATCCATCCATTTTCGTCCGCTTATCCGGGGCCGGGTAATAGTAATATATGTAAAAAAAAAAATAAAAAAAAAAGATGTTGTGAAACTGTCAACGCAGACTTGTTTTTCAAATGCTAGTTTTATTTCTTGGAAATCTGTCATTGTTTAACTCAGTTAGATGTTATAATTATGTTTTACTTACTTAGCATGATTGTTGTAGAAGTTTTCAGCTTGTCCAAGAAAGGCTGGAAGTAAAAGGCTGGAGACCAACTGGATGTCTTACGCAGGAGAAGTTTATTTACCATCAATAATACGGGCCCAGGGGGACTTGAAAAGTCAACATAGTATGATTTCAAAAGAGAACATAGTATGATCTTTGAGTGTTCAAGCCCCTTGACTATGCTTCTGGAGGAGGAGGTTTATAAAGCAAGTGGTGAGACTATGAAGACCAGTAGGCACAGGTTAGACAACAATATGCCTCAGTTTAGGTATGTCAAGGGAAGATCATGGTGAAAATATAGCTTTTGTGTCAATGTTAAACTGAGATGTACGTGGAAGATAAATTACTTAAATTCTCTTACAATGATCCCAGTGGGCTTGAAGTCTATATCCTTCTTATGCTGCAAATGACCAAAGAAACTATTTCTACTACTGCATAACTATTCACTAACAAGGACCACAACCTCAGAATGCAGTGTAAATGTGCTTTAACTATCTAGTAGATGATGATCCAAGAAATATTGGGATAAACAATAATTTTGTAACTACCTTATGCCACTGACTCAAAGCAGAGTAAATAAATAGTAGAGACAGTGCCATTAAAAGCAGCAAATAAACAGCAGAATGAACAAAAAATTGCCAGAGAAGTGAATTTTCCACAGAACTTACTTATTCAACACTCTACAGTTCAAATCCTGTTGTATTACAATTAAAATAATAAAAATCTCCCAGTTACTGCAGAGAAATTGTACACATGATAAATATTGAATGCCAAATATATATTGTTCCAGCTTTCATATATGGAACTCTAAGTCTATATAGTAATTATCATGACAGGCCTACAGACAAAGCAGTAATCAAAGGCTGTTTTGGAGCTTCAGCAGTGGAGATCGGCTCTTAGGTTTTGTATCCCCCTTATACACACTGAGTAGAAAAGAGCATCCAATCGAGAAGAGAGGGAGAGAGGGATGAAGAGAGGCAGCAGGTGGTGAAAATTATAGGGTAAGGACAGGAAGAGACAAGCTTGAGGTGTAGTTCTGTGCCTGAACTTAAAGGTTGTACAGAGGATTTTCCAAGGAACGAGAAATCCAGCGACTGTTTGTCCTTCTTCAAATGTTGCGCATGCGTGAAACCACCCCCCCTCCCCTACAGCTCCCTACGTAGAAACGCCTCCTCCCGCCTCCTCTTTACGCCAGAAACAGGTTTGTTTACAGCCGGTGCGCTGCACATGACTTGTAAACAACTAACTACAGTGTTGGTTAGGCAAGGCGGAGAAGTGAGGAGCGGGGGGAGCGGGTGTGCGGACATTTCGTTCGTGGACGAGAAGTGAGGAGCAGGGAGAAGAGCGGAACGGGCAGCGGGGACAGGAGCAGGAAAGGGGTGCAGAGAAGGTTGCGCGGAGATTCCGTGCGAATGAACTAGCTACAACACGCAGCAGCAAGTGGACTCTTTCTTTGCCTTGAAAATTACGTTTTCAGACATAGGATATCGCTTTCGTGTCCTGAAAAACATTTGACTAGCTCTTGGAAATAAAGTACGTTTTCATAATAAGCAGAAGTGACCTGTCCAGGAGTAATTTGGCGACCAGTGTGTCAGTCTTTAGACCCTGCGTCTGCTTCAGTCGCGCCATCGCTGGAATGAATCTATAAGAATCACCTTAGTTTGGCTTCGCTGCTTTTCCCCTTGTCTTCTTCTTTCAGCGACCTCAAAAACGGACTTTCTTTTGCGGCGAACTGCTCCTGGATTCTTGTCGCCATTGCAACAAACTTTGTGCTAACTGCGAGGAAGATATAGGTCAAAAAAAAGCCGCTAAGAACTGTTGCGTTGGTGGAGTAAACAGCGTCTGTGCGGCTTGCGTCTGTGGACTGCGTGACAGGCGTACGTAAACCACGTACCGGCGGCGCGCAGGCAGGTCAGTTACGCTAGAAACGTAGTGAGATTGATTGACAGCCTGTCAG